GGTAAAACATTCATGCCCGGTCAGCAAACTGAGTTTTAGGATAAAAAAAATCTTATCTCTCCATGCTTTCCCTTATCCACTCATCCATGTCGGGATACCCGATAATTTCCATCTCTTCATCGCCCAGAGCTGGCTCCCAACGTCGTCCCATTTGGTCCATTGTTTCACCCTTCTTTCTTTCGTTGATTATGTGGTTATTCTCCAGTTTGAATCCCCCTCCCGCTATTACGCAAATAGAGTCCTAGCTCTCTCCTGCCCTCGCGCAGAATAGGCTCGATCGGACGCATAATCTGCTAAACCACACACACACAGCATTCCATAGGATACGGTGCGAAGACGCCTAGCAACCCCGCAAAAAGGGCGACCTTCTATTGCACGACTAGCCCCACGGAGAAGAGTAAGTTTTGTTATGATTGACATGCCATGCATCGCCCCAAATAGGGCTGCCCGGTTACGAGAAGAATGAATTACTACCCTAATCACAGCCCCGCTTCTTGGCCCAGGACCCCCTACATTAGCATATATGACACGTAGCCAATGCCGATGCCATACCCCGCCACATGCCTGATGCCATACGAGACCGCTTTCTCGTGAGAACATTCGCAGCACTCTCGTCAAAGCGCAGTCTCGCCTGTCAAGTATCACTTCCCTAAATATCTCAGTGACCAGCTGCAGAGGAGATATTTGCAGCCTCCTACATTAAGTAGTAATACTTCTCTCTCACTTTTCTTGCCACCCCTTCACCAGCACACCTCTGTTTGATGTGCGCCATCTGTAGCCCTACCCGACCGTAACCACCTCCCCACGATCTCCCCCCCCCACACCCTCTCCAGCTCTTTTGGCCAACACTACAGCCCTGCACTGTTACTTTCTCATAATTTTATTTATTGCCGACACTACAATATTGCAACATCGTCAGCGAATTCCAATAGTTCTTGTGCCCTCCTGGCCGTCTATCCGTCCAACTCGAGCCTTCAACACGGGCGTTATAATAAATGTTCCACAACATCTGACCAAGTACCCGAGCCTTTGGTGGGACACCGCCTGTACCGTATAAAGATTGTACTCCAGTCCCAGTTTCAATGTTATAGAGATTACCTCTCCTTAAAGTAACTTGACATTTGCCACGTTCGAGATGTACCTTGGAACTCCAAGAGTTAGTAACGCAGAAAGAATGGAGCTCCACCTTGCTGTGTGTGTGTGTGTGTGTGTATGTAGACTTAATTTGTGAGTAGAAGTACTTTAAATGGTTTTTAATAGTTTTCAGCAACATTTCAAATTAATGTTGCTGCCTGGGATTCGTACTTTGGTCCTTTTGACCCGAAGCGCTCAATTCGTACACACCTTAACCAGCCTGGCCATCCTGTTAGATCACAGCTGCATACTTCTATGTTAGTCAAGAGATAATTGTATCAGTTCCAGGATTACAAAGTCGAGAAATAGAGAAAATGCGAAAAAACATGTTTTTCGGGCGACAAAGGAGAGAAGAAGCCTTGCTTCTCTCGCGCGCAACTTTTTTTGAATGAAGGATTGAAGAAATGTGGGTAGAGTCGGAGTATTAGTTACGAAATTGACCACTCGATTTTATGAAGCAATGCCAATCTCTGGAGAATCTGCCATGGCTTCGCAACTTTCTTAATAATTTGCGTTCGAACTTTCTCAGGAGTTCGAGGTATCTCCTGTGATAGACCTTCGCATACTTCGGTCATTTCTTTACATTTTTTGGAGAAATTCACGGACAGAAGTTCTCATCTTCAACAGAAAATTGTTTCATTTCGCGCCACTAAAGATGTGTTTGGAATGTTGTTATCAGTGCACGCTGTGAGCTTTTGTCTTCAACTGTTTTTTTTTTGTGAAAGAGAGGGGAAGCAAGGTCATCGTTCAAGAAAAGTTGTGCGAGTAAGTCTACTGTCGCCATGTAGTCGATAAAGTGGGAGACTGATGGCTCTATTGTTCGCAGGTGGTGGTGAGCCGGGATATAAGGAGAGCAGTGGGAGCGAAGTGGGAACCACCGGGGTGCTCTTGGTGTGCATTTGCCAGTTCGCCAGCCAAATGGAAGCAGAGGTCTTCTTACAGAAGCATCCGGAAGCGAAACTCTTCAGACATCCCTCGTGTACAGGGAACCATTCGGATGAACTCTCCGCGGTGGTCGGCACGCTACGAGACCTCAACACAAATCGGGTGACGCTGGTGCGAACGCCTGCACACAGCAGGCAACTCAGATATCCCGTCGGCCAGAAAGTCTTTTCTCAATTTAACTTACATTCATAAATGCCGGCCCACAAAGGCGAGAATGCGTACGAATGCGCCATCTGCAGGAAAAGTTTTGAACAACAGGGTACTTTAAAGAGTCATATGCAGTTTCACATGGCCGTAGGAGCCAATTGTATACAAACTCCTTAATACTTTATTCTACCTATGTATATTATTTAATTTATTCAGTAGTATTCAGTTTAAATAAGTTAATAAATTAAAATTTGAAATGATGTGGCTTTATTATTATTGTTATTACTATTATTATTATTATTATTATTATTATTATTATTATTATTATTATTATTGCTCTGTATCGTCGCGGCTAATACTACTGGAATGCCTGAATTTCCTAAATTTGCCCTTCACGCTGTTCTGTATTATATCCGTACTACGAAATAATTAACTTTTCCCACGTTCGGTTGTCTTGATCTCCATAATGCGACTTAGATAATAGATCTGCTAATATTAAAATCCTGTAAATTTCATGTAACTGTCAACAAAAGGTAATACTATTTTTTCCTTGTTATTTCTGGTGCATCGAGAAATTATGTTTATGAATTGGAGGAGGAGGGAATTTTTTGTTTGAAATGGGGGTCTCTGTGAGTGACCTGTCCCAAGTCCCTCGTTTTCTCTGGTCGCCTCTGTGAATTAGCGTACATAATAGCATCAGGATGTCATCTTTTCACAGATGGAGAGTACATTAAATAATTATATTCAGCGGGATACTACTGCCGTGAAACAGGTGTGCCACTGAAGTTCCAAATTTCAGTTCACTTTTTTTTATCAAAAAATACTATGACGTGTCAGCAGATATGGCCTATCAACTTACAAAAAGTCGGAAAGAACTTCGTTATGACTCCCCGTGCCATGGTAAATGGAAGACAATTCGTTGTCCCTCAAATCTGTCGTCACCGGAATTATGTTAACACAATTACTATCCTCATTTGAACAGTGCGTTGATTTAAGTTGGTCAGAGAACAGAATTAGAACTGTCAAAGAATAAGTGATCCAAAGAAAAAATGTAAATGAGTGATTTCAAAAAACAGGCAAGGAAAAAACAGTTTATAGAGCAAGAACAATAGCTTACATTAATGGGTATTTTCCCTTCAAACGAATCGAGTCCGACGTCGTGAGATCGGTGAACGAAAGGTACTGACTTTAGCAGACAGCCATGGGCGACAAATCTCTTCTCTGCTCAGTGGGAAACTCCCATCCAATTTGTAATGTTCTGTTACGGGTACATTGAACGTAACGGGATGTTTTCCGACGTGACCAGTGAGTAGGACACCATCACAAAAACTCTCACTAAACGGGATACAGTCATCATAATAGGAGGGAGGATGAACGTTTTAGTCTCCACTCTGCCCTTCAGAGACCAATACTGTGCAAAGAAATTAAAAACGCAAACAAGCAACTAAAACTGCATCTGAGAGACACACATGTTAAATTATTTGAGCTAAACATTCTCAGAAAAACACTTCACCCGGCATGGTCTTCACCTGAACCTTGTCGAAAAACGCATCCTTTCATAACCTCGGCTGCGTCCTCCCCAACACCCATCCCCATCTCCTAGTTCTCTTCCATCCTCCCGGACCTCTGTGGACCCAATTACCTTATCCCCTGAACCTAATCCTTGTACTACCTCTCCCACTATTCATTTATCGACATTTGTCGCCCGTTCTTCCTTCCCTTCCCTGTCACTGCTGAGGCACGATACTTCCTTCAACCATTCACTCGAGGTAAAAATGAGAAAAATAAATAGCAAATACAGTTAAATACAGCAGAGAAACATCCGTGTAGGTACATACAAAAAATTCAAATAATACATCGCAAAATTCTAATAATGCGATCGAGGCAGCATTACAGTGACAGTTACTATGTCAAATAGATGTTTTTTTTGCTTTACAGAACATTGGATGTCTCATAATGATCTAAACACACTCCAAATTCCTATTTTATACCTTACGAATTGTAGAGCGAGGGAATCGAATAAGGGTCATGCTTGTGAAGGCTCGTGTATTTATGTAAGAAAGGGATTTGATTCTATCTTCTTGTTAAAATTTAATTTGTATGCAATTGAAAAAGTTTTTGAAATAACAGTCGTACTCCTTACTATGCTCTATCTTACTGTGCACCTACAAACCTCTAACAAGGGTGCTTTTGATAATTTCATTTTCTTAGAAAATCTAGAGATAACTCTGAACAAAATTAGTAATATGTGGAGATTTCAATATTGATTTTCTGAGCGAATCCCACGTAAAATAGCATTTTCTCTATTTACTGCATTCTTTTAATTTAGATATTATAGCGAATGTACCTACACAGAATACATGTAATTCACAAAAAGCAATAGATCAAATTATAATTAACAAAAACCCAATATGAAATAAAAACTACTAACCTAGGTTACAGTGACCACGATGCACAAATTCTTACAATTACTAATAACATGAACGCCGAAGAAATAAATAATACACGCGTGTGCAGAGCATTCATTAAAGTGAATATAATAAGTATTTACAGACAACTTGCTGAAGTGGGATACAGTTTATAACGCTGTTGAATTTATATCGTTAAATAACTCAAAAACGAAGCGTTTTTAGGGTCTTAAAAACAAAAATTTCGAGGTAAAAGGTGTTCCTCACACCGTAATCTACAGGATGATATATTCTTGGACATTCTATTGCATTTTCGCTGATTCGGAGCTCCTCAATTCTACTCCATCTGTTCAGAGACGTGAAAATCTGCAATTGTATGTGAAATTAAGCTAATTACTTGAATTCTATGTTGTTGAATTGCACGAGTATACCTTTCTGTTCGGTAATAAAGTTAAATTAGAATAGTTTGTATTGCAAGGTACTGCAATTCTGCCCCTCAAGGCCCTACATCACGATAGCATTATGTCACTGTATTTCGCGTCTTTCTCAGTTGTGCTGCTAGATGTCGCATGATCGTGACACAAGGGCACGAACAAGAAAGACGCGTATACATATGGAACATGTGACGGTAGTTTTGAAGAAAAATATACCTTTTTGGCTTAATGTGGAAATGAAAGACAGTTATTCACTAACTTGCTGACAAATAATGGTTATTTATCAAGTCTATGAAATTTACTACGAAGCATATTTATTTAATATATTTACAGTTGGCAGTATCGATTAGTTGGTAGCACGCTTTGACAAGGACCTATCACATCGTTGAGTTGCGAATAGCGGGCATCCACGTTTTATTTGACTTGGTATCTCGACCGCATTTGTCCTGTTACCTGCTCGTCACTATTCGATACTCTCTTGACAGACTTGTATTTCAATGGCTAAGTCTTTTGAGAGAGTCACGAAGTATAAGTTCCAGAAATTCCTGCAGGAGAAGGCGGTGCGGGATAAAAGTTGTGAACGTGTAGGATTAATGAAAGAATTGGATAATTATCAAACACGGAACGAGCTGTTGGAAGATGTCAACGAGCGCTTGTATTATGTTATTACAAATGTTGCAGAGGAGTATCAGCAGATAGAACTGGAAGCGTTTAGAAATATTAATAATGTTATGTAAGTAATAATATTTTTTAATTGCTAATACCAATAATTAATTGATAAATTCCACGCCTTATGTGCATTTAGGGATTAATGCTTAGGGCAATGCTTACGGCAATTAGGAATGGAATTGTTTTCAGCATTAGAACACACATGTCAGATAATTTTTGTTGAAAAGAGGAGAAATTTATTTTTCTATGAAATAATAGAAGAATGCACCCATTTCTTTCTAATATTTCAAAGATGTGATGTACTATTTCCTTTGCCCTTTTCGTGTTTTTTTTAAAAAAATATTTTTTCTTTTGTGCTGCTCGTCCCCTTTCTCTTACTCCTGGGAACCCTACTACTCCAAGGTCGGAATGACAATTAATAAGAATTTTAAGCTCAATAATAGTGACACATCTCTGCATCTTAGTTGTGTCTGTGGAATTGTTGCAATCCAAAGTAATGAATTTGTTTTAACCCTTCATTCACGATTATCATATAATTCAACTTTGTGTTCAACACGAATAGTGACCAACAAATGAGGAGAGCTTTGATAAATCTTTTTTATTTGTTATTAAAATGGGAGTTTTTAGTTAATATTTTTTGGTAATATTGTTCATCTTATGCTTGCAGAAATAATTGTAATGAAAATTCTTAGCTGTTGTACTGAAAATGGTTTCACTTCTTCAAATGAATCAGTATAGCAAGACCAGAATACAAGAAACATGACTTGATGGGTAAAAGAAGCCAAATATTCTTAACCCTAACCAGTAAATAACTCTTGGAGAAGATTGTGATAAAACTAATTGTGGGATTCCCAGTGTAATCAAAATTCGCAGTTCTACATGATGAGTTGAAAATAATTTATGGCATAGTCTACAATTATAAACTTTACTCATACTGTTCTGTACAATCTAAAACAAAATTAGAACAGAACTCACTTTTTATCTTGTGAAGGCCTTTGTCTTGACAATTTTGTGTAATTATTCTTATATACTTTTGAATAATGGTACAAGAAAGAAATTTGTGTATTGAAATGCACTGAGAAATAGTTAATAGTATTAATAAAGAACAATATAATTTCATTGTTGTTTTCCTTTGGTCTGTTGTGCCACAAGGATAAATTCTGGGGTAATTACTATTCTTGATGCTCACAAGTAATATTCCTAATTTTCAAAATAACTTGGTAAAATCATGCATATGTCACAATTTAATAAACAATAAAATGTGTACTTCATAGAAAGAAAACCATTAACTTGATATTTAATATTTTAACCTGTTTATCTAAAAATAAACTGAAGTTAAATGTAAGTAAGATTTGTTAGTAACAATCTCCCCCATTACTTGGAGGCTGCTAGTAAGATAAGTGTTGTTGAATTTCAAAATATTCATCTTGTATAAAAAAGCTATTAAGAGTCAGTTATGGTTATTAGGTAGGTACATTACTATATTTTAGAACTACCTATGTTGTAAATGTGTCCTGTTATCAAATATTAGCGAGGATGTTCAACATCCTGATGCTTTATTTGAAATGATCAATGTTGTTTGCTATGGACTTCGGAAACTTTTTTAAAATATTGAATCTCTACTAAGCCTGCCTAAGTGTGGTGAAATAAAAGGACACAAACCGTGTGACTGGTCTCTGAGACTGTGTATTTGAGTTTCTTAGGCATAATAAAATGGGAACTTTAACAGTATATCAGATATCACAAAGACCTCACATGAATAATTAATAAACACACTTAACAAAAATATAAACAAATTACAAAAAATAATGATCATATATTAGTCAGAATACGTAAACAGTATAAGAATACTGTTATTTAAAAGTTCTGTCGTCTGTTTTGTAAAACTTATTAGCTGAAATGTTAGCTGACTTAACTAGTAATAATGTCACTAAACCATTACTCTCTATTTATGAAACACTCAGTCTGTCCACAACATTTCTATATGCTTAAGGCAAATGAATTTCTTGCACTTTCGACATGGAATTTTCTGTTTGTTATATAATAATAAATAATAATCCTAATTCAATGTGAAGGTTCAAAACAATCTCTGAAAATCATGCCCAATAAATATGGGCCCAGGGACTGTGTTACAGTGTCTTGTCACAACGATCATTTTTCCAACGTTAACAATATCTCATACATGTGAGTATTAAAAACTGTCGGAGGTACGAGAATGTACAGCTTCCGCTCTTCAACAGTAGTAAATATAAATAAGATTTTTGATAGATCCGGCCTCAGAGACCATGCTATACTAATGAGGGTTTAAACCAGACTGCTGTACCTATTCACCAAGACAAGATGCAAGTTTCCTAATGTTCATTTAAGGTAGGAAACTGTCATTAAGTCAGTTCATAATTCTGGTGTCTCCGATGTGACTCGCTCACAAAAATATGAAAATAATTGTTTAATATTAATTCAGCCACTTTGTTAATTTATTTGGTGTATGTTGTAGAATTGTGCTAAGAATCCTAAGAAATGTTTCTCTAATCGAGTCTGAGAATCTAGACTGTAAAGTAATTCATCTGACTTGTTGACTTGTGTGTTAGTAATTTCATTGACTTTATGTTAAAAAGTACCTGTCATATGTGGCAACATAAAAATGTGTGAAAATTGAAAATGTTGGGTTATTTGCATGATTTAATTTCAAGAAATTGGAAACTATTCCAAATTTGTTTCCTTTTGAATTGGTCATTCTGTCGTAATATTTCTCAATTCTTACCTACTTCTAAACTTCATTACTAACTTGTCATTGTTATCAATTTGTTTGATATATTTTCATTTCTGGTGGTCATCGTCTCAAAAGCAAATTTAATACATAGAATTTGATGTTGTTTACTTAAGTAATTCTGTTCTCTTCTGCAAAGAAGAAAAATCATTGCCCATTTTGATCTGATTTCCATTTAAGGAAAAAATCTCTTTAAGATTTTTGAAAAAATATGGTATCTTATTAGTATACGCAATTGACTGTACTGCCAGTGCCGTCATTGATCAGTATTGAGAGTCATTGATCATTACTGCCATTGATCAAATAATAATAATAATAATAATAATAATAATAATAATAATAATAATAATAATAATAATAATAACAACAGACAAATAATTGCAGCTACTCAGTTGTTACATTAACACAGGGTTTAGTGACCATACAGGGCAAATACTCAAACTCAAAATGGACAAAGTTATTAAGGAAACTTTGTAGAGAAAACTGAAACTTCTCTCAGGAAAATGTAGACAAATTAACTCTTTAATAAGTTCAGAAAACTGGGAGGTGGTGTACAAAAAACATGCTAAAGGAAAATAATCATGCATGAAACAATCCTTCACAACGAATGTAGTTATGAAATCATTGTTTATTACAAAACATACAAAGTATCTTGAAGAAAGTAATTAAACAGGCCAAACTGATAATGAATGATTAATGCATTGCCAAAGCATAAAACAAAAGCAATGTGGATTAGTAGGGAAAAATACTCTAAAATCAAACACTAAGAACATTGAACTTCACTACAAAAATAATGTTCTGTGCAACCCACAAGCTGTAGCAAACACATTCAATAGACATTTCTCAGTAATTGGAGAAAAATTAATTCACTGCAACTCTTTAAATAATATAAATATGCAGTCAAATATGCACACATCAAGAAATGTAAAGTCCATACATATCTTTGAAGCATCACCTGCAGAAATACAAAAATTAATATATAAAATGAAAAACAAATTCTCTACAGGACTTGATAATATCTCTGACACCCTCATTAAATATACTGCAACAAACGTGGTAGCACTGCTCATTCACATTTGTAACCACTCCTAAGCAAAAATTAAGCCACTATTAAAAAAATAGCAACACTCACGTTCTCATGAATTACAGATATCCTTACTATCTGGATTGTAGAAAAGCTTTTTAATGATAGACTCAAAAATTTTCCCAATTCAAATAACATAATGACAGAGCCCCAACATGGATCCAGAAATGGTAGATCTACAGACTCAGCTATCTTCAACTTTCTAAATAACATACTTTTTATTCTAGATCAGAAAGAAATCCCCCATTGGTTTCTTTCTAGATTCATCAAAAGCATTCGACATAATTGACCATCACATGCTGTTATCCAAACTTGAAACTTTGGGAATTAGAGGCATTGCACATCAATGGGTTAAATCTTACCTTTCAAATCGTTGTCAAGTAGTAACAATCAAGCATGTTAGAGATAAAGATTTCTACCCATTTTTCCCAAACTAGAATGATAAATTGTGGAGTGCTACAAGGATCAATCCTAGGCCCCATACTATTTCTATTATACATCAATGGCATGCCCCTGACACTTATGGGAAACAGGAATTCTGTTACTCTAAACACAGAAGATCATAACTAAAAGAGCAAAATGGTCCTATTTGCAGATGACAAACATTGTTATTAAAGGAAATACCCTACAAACTACAAAAAGAAGCACAAACCATTCTAGAGGCACTAGTAAAATGGTTCCAGGAAAATAAACTCGTAATAAACACTAGTAAAAGTGTCTCCCTAAATATTCGGAATCCATTCTAAAGAAAAGCCTCTAGCACAATTGATGATCAAAAATCATTCCTGTAAAAATAGCTCAAAAAACAACTTTCCTTGGATTGACTATTCAAGATAATCTAAAATGGAACTCCCATAACACAGATCTAAACAACAAGCTTACCGAGTCCTTAAGTCAAATTCTAACTTACACTGCGAATGGTGTACTTTGCTAATGTTCACTTGCACCTAAAATAGGGGATAATATTCTGGGGAAATTCCCCAGAGAGCATTCAAACTTTCATCATCCAAAAACCAATATTGAGAACAATGACTAATGCTCACAAACATATGTATTGCATACTACTTTTCAAAAAATTACAAATATTACCAGTCCTGTACATGTACACATTTGAAATATTAATCTTTACAAAGAAGTCACTTATGGGAACAGGAATTCTGTTACTCTAAACACAGAAGTTCATAACTATAATACCAAATAAAAAAGAAATCTGGATGACCCACACAGTGAAACTTCACTCCTTAAAAACAGTACTCATATAGAAGGCATTACACTATATAACAAACTCCCTAGCGAATTAAAAGCTTAAACTCGATACACACATTCAAAAATAAACTGAAAAACAAAAATAAACTATACATTGTACAGTACAAAAGAATACATACATCATAAACACGTATCTACATCAATATAAACTAGTATTAAAAATATTTGCATTTTCTTTTGCATGTTTTGAAACCCTCCCCTAAACTGGTCGTTGGAAATAAAGGAGTGACCCAACCCAGGCACGAATCTCTGAAGACTTTTTCCTCTCTCTTTTTCCTTCTTTTCTTTATTTTATTATTATTAATTTTTAAGTCTTCTTACACTACCATCTATAAAATTAATTTGCTATGTCATACTGGTGTATGCTGTATTTATGTGACAAATATATTATTATTATTATTATTATTATTAGTAGTAGTAGTAGAAGTAGTATAAATATAGCTGTAATATAAATATAATGTTCAATAAGCTAGCAGTTTAAAGATGTCTCCAAATAACGAATGACTTTTAACAGAATTGTAATGGCATTGTACCATGAGCTAATTTATGTGAGAGGAAAAGCAGTATTTGTTTTTTAGAAGAATTCTGTAAGAGGTGTGAGAAACATAAGAAAAATTCTGTTGCAGTGTTCAGATGTCCAAATTTCTTCTAATTTGAAAAGGCAAAAATGTAAAAGTCATGAAAGTATTTTGAAAGGCATTTGTTGTATCAATTTTTTAAAACTAGAAATCAGTGCAATCATTTTCATTTTAATTAATTTCAAAGCATGCAAATAACCTGCAGAGAGAAATAAAATAAGTAAATTGTAATAAGTAATTTGGGTCAAAGGTAAATTTTTAGAAATCTGTATTCTGATATAAATTTAACATTTTGATGCTCTGGTGACTAGACCATAATTGGGTTACAAGAGATGAATGATTTTGGATAGCCTGAAACATTGAAATTTAAATGACAACATATTGAGACAGTTAAATACTCTTTTTAATCCAAGCTTGTTTTGGTTGTCTCTTTGCATATCTTGACATGTTTTTAAAGTATGTTTCTTGTATTACATTGGTTAGTTTCTGAGAACATTGTTCAAGTACAACGGACTGAAGACTTGACAAGTGAGGTATGAATCTTTTTCACCGAGATGTTGGAACCACATTCTTTCTCGAACCACTGTATCCCTACAAAATCGTCTCATCATCACCATTGCCTTATCTGTACTGTCATCCATGCAGTGGAAAACAATATCATACCTTTATGGTCATATCCCTGAAAAGGAAAAAAATTAAGGCACAAGCTAACTAGCTCACCTTCTCTCAGGACCTCCTGCGAATTGGGGTGATTCATCTTAATCAACATCAGTAGAGCATGGAAGTTAGGCAAAATGCATCACTTAATTCTACTTCGTACGTTGTTTTAGTAGATTTTCATTTTGCCAATTTTAGCAATTTTGTCTTACTTTTTCTTTTTTTTTTTTCTCCTGGCACCCAACTCAGTCAAGCTGGTTATATAGCTGCAAGCCTGGCACGGTCGGCCCCCAAAGGCACGGTCGTGTTTTGTCTTAATGAGGAAACAGAAGTTATGCTAAAAATCTTAATGAAAAAGAAAGTTAATACTAGTCAAGATATTTTAATTTTTTCATTGATACCGACAGACTATTTTTGTCGTCTGATCCCTTTTGAAGTCAGGTCTCTGTGTATGATTAATCTTCTCAGAATTGGCGATTATAAAAGTGTGAATAAAGAAAAGTATTAATCGGTTTTCGCTGATGCCCCTTCAAGATCAAAAGGGAGTCTACATTACCACTTCGAAGAGAGCGCGCGAGAGAAACAAATTCATACCAATCATACCGTTCTTTGCTTGTTAAGTACTATTGAAATGGTAGAGATAGAACATAAATTTGAAAAAAAAAAAAAAATTGCTTTTACTTTCCCGTATACGTACATATGTACGGAGTGATTTACGTAATGTAGGAAACGTTATGTAATGCTACGGAAATACACGTTTTGGAGTCCCCAGATACTGTAAAAGTGTTTTTTCTTCTTCTTCTTTTTTTCAAAACGTCCGTCTGGTGTCTGCGAACTTTACTAGCGCCCAATTTTTTCCAAATTGAAGAAACCATCTCCAACCATTTCCAAATTGAAGAAGTCCATCTGGCTCGAGTCAAAACTTGCCCTCCGGGCATTTTCGAATTCTTTTCTTTAAATTTCTTGTTAGAATAGAGTAACATAACCGTGAAAATCGGACCCATGCCACGTTTTTAAGTGTAACTCTCATTTTCGAAAATTTCAAAAGTATGATTTTTTTCGGAGCCTTCCTACAACTACAACATAAAGGACAGATTAAAAAAAAAAGTTTTCCATGCTGAGTTTTTTCAGTAAGGTCATAAACATTTTTTTGAAAATTTTAGTTGTCTTCGCGTAAAATTGCGTGCAATATGTGCAGTTTTA